CCAAGCCTGGTGCTCAACTAATGGGATGCTGTACCCTGGGGAGACACAAGTGTTGTAACTCAGGCAGCAAAGCAAGCAAGTGCTCAGGACATATCCTTGGCCAACTGTAGTGGATTTGTTTGATCCCTTTTCTTGTGTCCAAAGACACCCCCATCTCTGCATGCCCAAGTACTCCATGCTTGGATTCCTATCCCAGCCTGGTCTAGAGCCAGCATGGCCCAGCCCAAGGTCCCTCCATCCCATGTATAACCACTTTGGGCCTAAAATGTGGCTGCCATGGGTGTGTGGAGATGGAGCTCAGACAAGCAGAGTGGGCCACCCTGCAGAAGCTCCCTAACACCATAAGAGTCCCTGGAGGCTCCAGGCCCCTTACTCTTCTCTTTCCCTTTTTGTCAAACCAGCACCTCAATTTCTGAGACTTGCCACCTGGGAGCCTTCTCTGATAGCTGGTCTACGGAAATGGTTAAGCAAACTGGAGCAGACTGTGGACTCCAATTCCATCTCTCAGTGAGGAATGCAGCAGTTCTGGGCAGCCTTCTGGCCCTTCAAACCATGTTTTTTTTTTTTTTTGTTTGTTTGTTTTGTTTTTTGTTTTTGCACCAGGGATTGAATTCAGGGGCACTCAACCATGGAGCCACATCCCCGGCCCTATTTTGTATTTACTTGGAGACAGGGTCTCACTGAGTTGCTTAGCACCTCACTGTTGCTGAGGCTGGCTTTGAATCCCTGATCCTCCTGCCTCAGCCACTGGGATTACAGGGGTGTGCCACTGTGCCCGGCTTAAACCATGCATCTTGGTTAATGTGCATGAGAGCTGTCTCAGGGCGTCCTTGATGCCGGTCTTCTATCATAACTCACTGTCCTGTAGCCTTGCTGTGGCCAGTTAGCTTGAGGACTAGTTAGGTCAGCCCTTCATGGTGCAATAATTTCGTACTGTTGGAAGTATTTGCAATGCTGTTCATGTATGAAATGTGTTTTTTTTTTCCTCTCTCTCTAAATCCAATGCACACACAAGCATGGAAGGGGGCCTTCCTTTTTCTTTCTGAGTTCCTTTCTCAGTGGGAGGTTGAATGGATGGACAGCCCTGGGAGGGTTCTGCTAGTACCCTGCTCCCTCCCAAGATTCCAGGCCCTCCTCAGGGGACAATAGAGGCTCATGGCTATAGCCTGCTCTTGAAGGTGCCTGGCCAATATAGCCATCCTATCCTTTCCTAGGGAAATCCTCCAGAGCCAGGGCCATAGCACTGGCCAAGGAACAGATCCCTCTTTCTTTCCTGCCCTGCATAGTCACCACAAGGACAGGTGGGCACATATGGGGCTCTGCTGGAAGCTGAGATGAGCCATCCCCTCAGGCACTCAGTGGCTTGAAGAAGACAAGTTAGATCTGGTGAAACCATGATTCCTTAGGTCACCTGCTAGGCTCACAAAGGCGTGGTGTCCTGCTCAAGGGTCACCCCATTAATCCCTAAGGGCCAGTACTCCCTTCTCAGCCTCCTTCCTTCTTCCTCATAGCATAGCCATCTGGGCTGTGGGACTCTGGGCAGTGTCACCAGTGCATACTGTTCTTACTTCTGTGGATGGCTTCATCTTGGTCAATATTGATTTGGTTCTCTCAAGTACTTCCTTTTGTCCCTTCCTTTTCCAGAGCTCTCCTCCCTGCAGGAAGGACCCTGTAGTAGAGAGGGTGAAAAGATAAGGTCAAAATGGTTCTTGCTGTGCAGGTGCAGCATCAGTGAAAGTGGCAGAAAAACTGATGCACATGGCTAAAGCAAAGACTGAAATTCCAAGGACTGTCTTCAGGCAAAGCTTGATGGAGGCTCAAGTGATATCAGCAGGACCTTGCTTTTCTCAGCTGCCTCTCGGCTCTTGTTTTTTAGTTAGTTGTCCTCTTGGGTGAAAAGCTGGAAGCTGGCAATGACAAACTTTAGATGCTGATTCAGGCTTAGGGAAATGAGCCATGCTGCTGTCCCAGGGCCTTCCCATAAGGTTTCAGTGGGTTCCCACTGCTCTAAAAGTCTATGCTGATCCCATATATGGTGGTGGCCAAAGAAACATTGTATATAATCAGGTCCAGCTTACCTGCTTCTGTCTGGGTTAGGGTGGATCCCTATCAAGTTCATGACCAAAGGGACCCAGTAATGTTTCCCTAAATGGAAAGATACTTAGGGTGGGGAGGGGTGGATCATATTAATCCATAAGCCATCTCAGAGGACATACAAGTTACGTATGTTATGTATTGCCTCCTGAACAGGTCCTGAATAGGTGTTCAGCTCATTTCATGCCCACTGCCCTCACGGGACTGGCAGCTCCCCCACTGACCAGTGCTCTGTGATGCCTCTGTTCACCAGATCTGCAGGCCTGCCAGGTGAGGGGTGGGAATCAGTGGATTAGACCTGTAAGGGCCCATCCCAGCCTCTGGACCAGAGTCCCACTCAACTTGCTGCTCCCCAGAAGCACCCTGTTCATTCTGCTGTGAATGGATGGAAAAGAGGAAGGTGATTTATTTGAATTTGCTATTAACAAATGACTCTAGATTTGGTTTAAACAACACATTTATTTTTCACACTTCGGGAAGCTGAGAAATACAAAATTAAGGCACCAGTAGATCGATCCAGTTTCTGATGTGGGCTCATTTCCTGATTTGTGGAAAGCTGACTTCTCACTCTTTAAGGTGGAACAGGGTGAAGGGGTTTACTGGCTTTTTCTGATAAGGGCACTAATTCCATTCACGAGGTCTCTATCATTATGACTTTATTACCTCCCCGATGCCCCACCTCCTAATACATCATCTGGCATTAGGGGCTCAGCAAATGAATGTTGGAGGTACACAAATATTCAGCCCTTTGCAGATGAGTGGGACATGGTGATATGATGACAGGGGGAGGTCAGGATATCACTATGGTTTTGACTTGGTGGGGCAGGAGCTTCCTCTGCGGTGTAGTCACTCCCAGTGTCCCTGGGGGCTTTATAACTATTATCACCAAAACTCTGTTGTGTGATGCGTACCAGAGGAGAAACAGGTTCTGAGGGACAGTGCCATGCCCAGGATCACTGGCCTCGAGGTGCCTATCTGATCACCCATTCTTCATACTCAGCCCTGAGCTCTGTCTGGTGGCTGAGGAGACCAAGGACCCCTCTTAGTGAACATGTGATCTGTTTTTCTTGTTCTTTGAATCTGTATATGAAGATTTGTAGGGGTGGTCCCAGTGACATGGGCATGGGCCATCACTTGGGGACACTTTGGGGTCAATTATCTGGGTTGAATGTCCAGCTTTATGAATGATGTGGGGATGCTGGGGAGTGGCCTGGGAGAGCAGGCACCAGAGGGAAGAGGATTGAGCCAGTGTTTATGTTAGAAGCTGCTTCCTGGGTTTGCTACCTCCTCCATACAATGAGCATTGAGGGCTAGAAACCTGTCTGAGGGTGCTAAAAGCCTTTATATCTTACTTTCTGCTTTTTGGGTGGAGGGCATTGCTCACAGTCTGGAGTCTGAGAGATGAAAGGGGCCAAGAGATCTTTGTGGTAGGAAGGAGCACACTTTTGTCTAATGTGACTTCTTTCATGTTACCCCCACTCCTTGCTGGTTAAGTTCCTATACATGAATCTTGGAGTTGGGGTATTCCAGGGAGTGAAAGCAGAGGTGGGACTTTGGGGACACCAAAGTTTAGCACTAAGGGCCCAGTCCAGACAGGACCACAAGAGTCCAGAAATATGAGAGCAGCCCCACCTGGGAAAGCTGTAACAGCAGAGGGTGCCATTTCCTACGTGGGTGGACTTTGGGCTTGGTGACCTGGGGAGGAACGGTTGTCTCATCCTGTCCAAGTTCTTTCAATTACAGTACAAACTCAAACATTCCAAACACACACAAACGTTCAGTGTGGAATCTTTTCTACTTTCAGATTTATTCTATACAAGTAAAAGCAATTAACAAAGACAACAACAAAAACCCAACTCATCACTAATAGTTGCCTTTATGGGGAGGGCCTCTTCCCACCGTGAAAACAAGGCTGGGGACATCAGGTATCACTGCTATGGACAGGAAGCAAACCACAGAGAGGTGGGAGAGACCAGGATTTCTACCTTTTGCCTGGGTCCTTTCTGCTCTCCTGAGTGAGGGGCCCCATTAGGGCAGTGCTGATAGTCCTGCTACGCTCATCTGCTGGGGACCAGCTAACAGGGCTGCTGCCGCCCAGTGGACATCACTGGTTTTTCCTCTAGAGCCTCTGGCCCAGTTGCCTGGCCATCTTCTCCTAGAAAACTTGCTGAGATTGTGTCCTGTGGCCCTGTGTCATTCCCCAATCTCCTGCTGCCTCCTAAGATAGCCGCTTACTGCTGACAAAGTTCCACAGACAGAGCACACAGGTTCCTGAAGGACCCAGCGGCGCCGCAGCCTAAGCGCTCTGCGCTCTCCTGGCTGGGATCATCTACCTGAGCCAGTGCTCAGCCTCGGGTCCCAGCTCACACTTTCCTGACTTCAGAGTACAGGCAAGATTAAACCAGAGAGGTGATCTCAGGCTCGTACTACAGCCTTCTGGAAATGTTTCTTTGGGTGTGTTGGGTAGTTCCTTGCGCAGGGGTGGCCATTCCGGATGCGGACGCTAAGAGCTGACGCAGAGGATTCACCCTAGGCTGAGCTCCCCAAGTCCTCGGGTCACCGATGCTCAGGGGGAAGCATATGGCTGTAGTAGGAGGCGACAAACTGCTGTGTTAGTTTACAAATAAAGTAAGTTTGCGGGGAGCGCATTTGTAGCGGGCTGGGCGCTCACATTTCCTCTCTGCGGATGGGAGCCAGCATCCTGCTGCCTCCCTGCGCCATCTGCTGGCACATTGAGGGGATGGAAGTCGACTTGGGGAGAGATGGAGACTGAGTTCAGCAGCTAATTCTAGGGAAACCACACCTCCTTGCTGTATTTCCCAAGTGCCCTAAGAGGACCCGTTGGTCTGGAGGGAGAGTTAAGATCAAATTTTCAGACAGCTGGAATTTCACTTAGAATCCATTCATTGTAATTCAAAGACTGGCATCAAATTTATTATTATCATTTGTTAAATATTTTAGATCTTTTCAGAGAATCTACAAGGGCATAGCAGGTGTTCTTCCCCAGTACATTTTGTGTGGGCAGTTACATGACAGGAGAGGAGGTGACACAAACAGGTGGGACACACGGGGGGAGGGCTGCATCTACATTGCAGGCTTTGGTCCCCTGAGAAAGAACAGTATCTGAACTTCCACTGGGTAAGCTAGAGGGACCCAAGACCCACAGTCAGGTAACATGAAGAGGAAGGAGGTCCATGGGGGACAATGAGGACTACAGTCATACATGCATTCAACAAACCTATCATAAAGTAAAAACACACTCTGTAGGGAGGGTCTGCTGAGCAAGCCCCTGCTCGCTGCATGGCCGCCTGTCCTGCAAGCGTCGTGTTGGGATGGTGCTCGGGGAGTAGTTGGGAGGGTTGATTTCCATGGTATTAACCAAGATGAGGGTCTTTCTCTTGGTGGGGGTGGAATGGGCACTGTAAGCTGGAACAGGGGTTTGGGAAGAGTGGCTCCAGCCTTCAAGGGTCTCTCAGCTGCTCCCTTAGGGGCAAAGGTTTGACCTGCCCAGGTGTCAAAGGAAAGGCAGATGGCAGGGTCCTCCCAGGGCCACAACAACATCCATTGATTGTTGAGGGGCACAGGACAATGCTGTTCTCTGTGCCAGCCTCAAAGCTTTCCTTAGTGGAACCCATGGTTTTCATCTTTCATGAGGATGTTCACATCTTGGGAGCACCTGGGGTAGGAATATCCAGGACACAGAGGGAAGAACCAAACAGCAGTTGAGTTTTCAGATTCTGAGCCAGATGGTAAGGGGCTGGGGCCTTCTCAAGAGAGACAGGTGGTGACTGCAGCATCTGCTATGATAGCCCCTGTCTTGGTTGGAGTTCAAGCAAGAATTGGCTAGATTCAGTAAGACAATCCCTGGGCTCCCTGTGACTGAAGTTTTGCAAAGAAAATGCTTCACAGCAGTTATAATAGTCTCCAAAGTTCTAATGAAAAAAAATATGTTTGGTTGAATGTTTCTTCTCAACACTCAGGGCTGGGCATCCTGCTTTTTACTCTTTATAATCGTGTTATCGTGTACAGATGGCTGTCCCATAATTAGTTAGTTGTTGGTCCATCTCAGGATAAAACCCACCCTCCATTCCTCCTTTGTCACTTTGTGATGAAAACATGGCGCTCTCTCTTCAATCTTTGAGAGACAGGTGAAGAAAGTTTTTCTTGATGGGAAAGGAAGGCTACACATGGATGTGACAGTGTTTTAAGTGGGGTCTGGGAGATGCTGGCTCAAGGCTAACTCTACCTCTGTCTGACCTTCAGATATATTCATTCTTTATCAGAAAACGGTGTTACACTCCAACTTTAACAAAAGGAGGTAATCAAAAGCCCGTCTCCATGGGAGTGCCTAGCTTAAGCACCATCACCTGTGGACATTGAGCTAAACCGCATTTGAATCTGAGGGAGACAAGGGTGCCTGACAGATGACCTGGGACAAATATTGGTGACAGAGTTCAGGGGAACCTTTGAGCCTGGAGTCTTGCTCTTCTGAGCTAGGTAGAGAAGGAAGAGGAGACTTGTCCAGGACTGGAACTACAGAAGATGGATCCTCAGTCTGGGTCTCCAGCCCTCTGCTTGCCCAGCCAGGGAAGCTCCCTGCCCCAGTTGTTGGAGCCCAGGGTCAGAGAGCCTTGCCCTGTGTTGCCTTAGTAGCTGTCATCTGTGAAGAAGGGCCCACTGGCAGAAGGGGAGCAGTCACCCTCCTCGCATGGCTGCGAAAGCTCCCCGTACTCGCTGTTGTAAAACACCCGACTTCCTTGTGGCCCCCGGTTGGGCCGGCGCCGCCTCCCCTGGGGGTCAGAGTGTGCTCTGGACACATCCACATCCTGGCCTGGTCCTTTACAGCTGCCAAGACAGGGAGGATGTCGTTAGTAAAAAGACAGAAGAGATCGGATATGGGTCAGGTTCTGATTGGGATCATCAAAGACACAGTCTGAACACAGTACGTTCAAAGGGAAACACACACCTTTGGCTTAAACAGCAAACAGGACTCATCTGATCTGACAAACACTCCTGGGAACTTTTTCTGTCCCAAACTTGGACACAGTTCCACCTGGAACGTCTGATTGCATTCCCCCAAACCTGCTTCTCTATGATACACCTGCCCAGTGCAGATGCCTCTGGTGCATCTGTCTCTTCATGGTTCATCAGATGTTTTTCCAGCCGTGCAAAGAATAGCGCCCTCTGTTGCCACTTGTAGTGAGCAGCAATTGTCTCTAATGAACAAACCCCTTGCGTACCTGACTTCTGAATTCTGGATTCTATCCTACTTCATTAGGACCCTATTTGCTAGGACTTTCTTTTCCCCTTACCACCTGCCATTTGAGGTCCAGCAGCCCCTCCTGCTCACTGCCCATTTGGAAATAGTGTCCTTCCAAGATGGCTGCCACTGTGCTGCCCATCTCAGTAAATGGCAACAAGGTTCACTCAATGGCTCAAGCCAAGCATCTGGCTGCGGTCTTTGCTTTCCTTCAGCTCTCACACCCAATGCATCCAGATGTCCTGTCCACTCTAACTCCATAATTCACCTATGCATAACTCTCTACCCCTCCATCCCTACACAAGAGTGGGTTTGCAGGCTGTGTAATACTCTCCTGGGAGATCTCTGTGCTTTCACTCCTGCCTCCTTGTACTCCAATCTTCAGAGAGACCCTTAAAGTTAGTCATGACATCAGAACACACCCTTCAGTGGCTTACCATTGCTCTTGGAATGAAATTCAAGTTTCTCATCACAGCCTAAGAAGCTCTGCAGGTTCCAGCCCATGAAGGCTTCTCTGACCACTCCCCTAAGCTTCATTCTTAGGTGTCACTTCCTTTGAGTTTTTGGAAAATGCTGATTTATTATTATTTTGCTCTGCCTGGTGCTACTGAGAAAACCCTGAATATACCAATTGTTTCCTTTAAAAGTCATTAGGGTTTCTTTTTTCCCCTAAATTCCCTAAACGTTTCTCTTTAAAGTCAAATCATTCTACTAGAATTTAGTATTCATGTGTCAGTTTTTCCAGGTATCCTTCTAATACGTAAATTTATGACTTCATTTGTTTATTTAAGAGCATTATCTTTAAACTATAAGTTAAAAATATTAGTTTTACTCCTCTGTATTTTCTTCCTCAGGGACTCTGATTTTTATGTATATTGTATGTCTTCTATTCATCTTCTATATCTTTCTTTCTGATCCTTTTACTTCAGTTTCTTTTCTTGACCATTCTCTATATAACCTCCACTATAACTCTGTTCATATATATTGTCCCTCTGGCACCCTGATCTTCATTTTTGATAAGATTTATCTCAAATTGCTTTCAATTTCCTTCTTAAATTTAGTCATTTTTTAAATCTTCGTTTTATTTGTGAAATAAGTTCCCATTTTACATCTTCATTCTCTCCATTTATATTCTGAATTTTTAAATGCCTGACTTATGGTGCAGCTTCTTGTTTCATTATATATTTAATTCATCTTGGAGTCTTGTGTTACAGTTTTCATCTTTTTAAGAAAACTCCACTATGAATTTTAATTCTAATTTCCTGTTTTAGTCTTACAATAGCTCTGAATGAATAGTGCTTAATTTTTCATTCATGATTATTCATGTTGGAATTTCCTACACCAAAAATAATAGATCATCTTGTGATCATCTAGGGGCGGAGGATACACATGGTGCTATGGTCTGACTGTGTCCTCCAAAGTTTATCTGTTAGAAGCTCAGTCCCCAGTGCAAATGTAGAGAGGCAGGACTTTTAAGAGTTGGTTATGTCACCAAGTGGATTAATGTTGTTATCACAAGAGTGGGTTTGTCATAAAAGCAGTTGGGTCCTCTCAATGTTTCTCTCACTTTCTGCCATGGGATAATGCGACAAGAAGGACCTTGCCGCATGGTGGTACCATACTCTTGGATTTCCCAGGTTTGGTAACCAGGAGCCAAATCAATTTCTGCTCATTTTAAGTTACCCGTTCTCAAGTATTGTTATGGAAGCATAAGATGAACTAAAATAGAGGGCTTCTTAGGTTTCTTCACTCAAAAGTGCCATATCAGACCCACATCTTTGGTATCACCTCAAATTCCTTTGACTAATTCTTTCTTGCCAAAGGCAGCTCTTCACGTCAGGTGTCATACTTCCACCAAGGGCCAACCAGTCCTTGCTGGCCAACCAGAAGCCCAGATTTTTCTAGATCTTCCACCTACAGACTTGGACGAAACATTACACTGCAGGGGAAGGAATCTGGCATCCTGAAGGGTCACTGAAAAGATGATGGAACCTGGGAGTGAAGAAGAGTTGATTCCCCAGGGGTGAGTGTGGACCAGGGATTAAGAGAAGACAGGAAGGGGCTGGGCAGGTAAACCACTTCCTTCTTCTCCCCATAGCTGTCTCCAAGATATTCTGTCTTTGCACCTGTTTGGAGAATGTTTTTTATTCCAAGTGAACACACCTGCCCAGTGATCTGTTGCACCTTTTCATGGCTTATCATAATGTTTCCAAGGGAACCTGTGCAAAGAATTGTGCCCTCTGTTGCTGCCATAGTGAGGCGCAGTTTCTGTAATGAACAAATTGTTGTGTGTGTCTTCTTCTGAATTCTGGATTCTACCTTGCTTCTGTAGGACTATTATTTTCTGGAACTTTCTTTTTTTGTCGTCACCAAGCAGTATTCCCTTCCAGCTTACTACCCTTTCAGAAGCAGTGCTTACCAAGACCACCAGCCCTGGGGCCACCTACTTGCACCAGGGGATTTGCTGTCTCCTACCAGGCTCAGCCTCCTCCATTCTCAGCCTCCTCCATTCTTTCCCCAGTGGGATTGGTCACTGTTCCAAGGACATGTTTTTTTTTGTACTGAGAATTGGATCCAGAGGCATTCTACTGCTTGGCTACAACCCTAGGCTTTTTTATGTTTTATTTTGAGATAGAGTCTCTCTAAGTTACTAAGGCTGGGTTCAAAACTTGTGATCTTCCCTGCCTCAGCCTCCTGAATCCCTGGGATTACAGGTGCATGCCATTGCACCTGGCTTGTCCTAAGGACTTTGCCACATGCTTCTCTCATGGGATAGTCTTCTGCTATTATGCCATGGCTTAGGATTGGCTCTACTGGTTCTGGGTGTGGATGGACACACACACACACACACACATACACACACACACACATACACACACACACACACACACACACATACACATACACACACAGTTTCCTGGGTACATCATAGACATGGGCTTAGTGGCCTTACTTCTTCTCCTTGAAAAGCTGTGTTGTTTTTAGCAAGATGTGTGCAGACTTGAATTTTAATTGCAATTATACTCTGGTCTATTGTCTGCCTCCTCCCCTCCTTCTTTCTTTGGGTGGGGATCAAACCCAAGGCCCCGTGAATGCTAGGCAAGCACTCTACCATTGATCTACATCCCCAGCCTACCCTTTTATTTAATTATGTTTTAAGTGATAAAATGCTGTTTAGTAAGGAAACATAAGCCAAAATCTACTCCAGGAAATATTACTATCATTAATTTTCTAAAACCAAGTTACTAGTTTAGGATTTTAATAATAAACAAGTGGCAAAATATCTGATTTCCTGACTGACTATATGAAAAATTAAAGTATACTTGCAAAGTCCCTCTTATGCTTACAAAATTCAAATTTCTCTGAAAACTGAAATTTTGAAGCATTTTCAAATTTTTGATGTTTGAATGCTCAACTGGTAAAGTCTATGCAAAATATTCTAAAATCCAAAACATTTTGAAATCTGAAATTCAAAAACTTCTGGTCCCAAGTATTTTGGGTAGTGGATCCTCAACCTGTAACTGACAAGTTGTAAATCATTAACATACCTGCAACAAATGTGAAAATAAGATCAACTGTCTTCTTGATATATAAATAAATAGGTGAGGTTTAGAGTAAAATATTTAGTGATAACGTCATATATTGATTCCAAACAGCATAGGCAGAAGCCAAGGATTTGTTCTGCAAAGTTATGACAGGTGACCCAAAAAGGGGCTCTTGACAAAGACACTAAGGTCAAGGGAGTGGTCTGGATAAATGACCATGGGCTGTTTGGAGTTTGGAGATGAAAGTAGTCTCCCCTTGGCTGGTGTGTGTGTGTGTGTGTGTGTGTGTGTGTGTGTGTATGTGCATGCGCATGCCC